TTAGAAGTTCAAACATCTGCAGTCCAGCATAAAGGACAATACCTAGGAAACTCCAAGTTTACCTTTTCCAAAATCAGGGTTACAAAAGGGAACTGTTACTGTTACTTCTACAACTTGGCCAGAGTCTGGAGAAATATTACAGCTTATGTGTAGATGTCCTGCCAAGCCTCATACCTTCATAGGTGGGGCTTTTGATAGATACTGTATCTAGGGTGTGGGACACTAGGACTAAGGGTGTATAGTAGTGGATTAGTCCACAGAATTGTTTAGCATAGGTCTATGTATGGATAATGGGAAGGACCACCCTGTGTGTAGGTGGCACAAACCAGTAAGTTTGTAGCCCGAGTAGAATAAAAGAGTAAGAGATTTGATGCTGCTGTTCTGTTGCCTCCCATCTACTTTGCCACAGACTCCTTCTCCTTTGCAATGTCTCTCTAGGATGCTCCCCTGCCTTAGAGGCACAGGACTACAGATAGAAACCTCTACAAACTGTGAGCTAAAATAAACCTTTCTTCCTTTAACTTGTGAGTATCAGACATTTTGTCCCAGCAACAAGAAACTAAGATATGAACTAACTAATTTCATGTTGGCCTGCTCTTTGGTACTTACACAAGGTATTAACTGTGGACACAGTCAAGTCTCCACTCATGTACAGGTGGCTGCTGAGATAAAAGTTTCTTTTGAAATTGCTACCAGTAATAAATAATTTTATATACCTGTTAGTCTCAGCTATCACACATATTGGGACTTTAACTAGTCTTTCATATATATTTTTTGATGGTCTCTTATATTATTGTCTCTAAATTATTTTCTGTTTTATCTAGTTATCATCATTCAATCCTCAATTTTCTTTCTTTCTTTCTCTCTCTCTCTTTTTTTTTTTTTGTATTTTAGGGAAGGGTCTAAAGGGTGTTCAGGGTCTCACTACTAGATAGGACTCATAGTGATCTGCCTGTTTACAGCCTCCCAAGAGCTGGGATTACAGGTGCACGCCACCACGCCCAGTCTCAATTGCCATCTCAGTGTGCCCCGGGGATGGAGCCAGCACGGCAGGCCTGGGGATCAAATCCCCGGCCCTTGTGCCTGCTTGCAGGCACTTTAATCTGCTGAGCTATTTGGCTGGCCCTCAATTTTCTTTCTACAAAGAGTTCCACCTTTCTCATAAAATCTGACTCCATGTCTATAAAATTTTAATATATCTTATTCTCAACCTGATTGTATTAACCAATGCCTACCTCTACTCTAAATATACACTCATGCTTCTCCGATAGATGCTGCTCACACTTTAAACATTCTAATTACTTTCAAATTGTGAAATAAGAAATGCCTTACTTACTTTGTAAAAGCTATTTCCAGTGTATTATTCTTCTACCCTTAATAGTATAAGAAACTTATGTTCTTTATAGGTTCTGGCACATATTCCTTCTCTCTCTTCTTGCCATAGAGTTAATACCTAGTAGCGTTGTATTAACATCTGATTTTTAAGTCTTGCACATCTCTGCTCTAAGTCCTATGATTGGCCATTTTTATTTCCACGAGGCAAATGGATTCTACATGCTACCCACTATTCCTTAAACTTCTGTTCACCTCTATCAGAATTTCAGATACTTCTTCAAATCCATCTTTCAGGCATAACATATCCAACTCTGAGGAAGAATATATGGGGGCAGCACCAAGAATCAAACTAAAACATAAAAGCTGTCAGACTGGTCACTGAACACAAATCACCTATATCTTGCTTACAGGACACATTCCATAAATATAAAGACACAGGAAATATGAAAATCAGATGACTGAAATAAGATGTACGGTATGAGAATGAAGTTGGTTTAACTATTTTGATATTACAAAAGACACACTTCACAGTACAATGTACTACAAGATGCAGAGAGGGACATAATAAAATGTTAAGTCCTTCAGGAAGTTTAAGCAGCATTAAATTAGCATATACCTAATTATATAATGTAACATATTGAAAAAGAAAGAAATAAAAAACAAAATTTATATGTAAGAGATTTTAGTATTTATTTGTTAATAACTAATGGAATAGGCAGGCAAAATCCACAATAGAGATACAAGAATGAACAACATGATTAACAGCCTTGACTCAATTGACACTTTTTTTTTTTTTTTTTCTTACTATTTTAGCATGGGGTCTACAGGATCTACAGGATCTCACTACATAGACTGGACTCATAGTGATCCTCCGGTGTTCAGGCTCCCAAGAGCTGGGATTACAGGCACGTGCCACCATGACGTCTCAATCACTGTCTTAGCGTGTCCCTGGGGCAGGGCCTGCACTTCACTCTGGGGGGTTAAACCCAGCCTCCAAGTCTGTCTAAGCAGGCACTTTAACCTGCTGAGCTATTTGGCTGGTCTTTCAATTAACATACTTTGAACACTGCACCCAACTATTATAGAATAAGCTCCCCTTTCATGTGTGCATGAAGTATTTACCAAAATCAGCTATAAAATAGGACATAGAGAAAATCTCAAAAAAATTAAAAGATGAAATCTTAACAGCATCTGTTCTTTGAGCACAACGAAAATAAGCTAGAAAGGAATAATTAAAAGATAATCAACATTGCCAAGTATTTGGAATTGAAGGATAGTAAATAACACGTCAATTAAATCACAATAAAAATTACACAATATTTTTACTGAAAGAAAATGAACAAAATGTCATTGATACAGTAAAGACAGTGACTAGCCAGAATTTTTTTTGTACCGAGAGTCAAACTCAGGACCTTGCCCTTGCCAGGCAGACAGTTATGTCACTGAGCTCTATCTCCACTGCTAAACATTTTAAAGCTTCAGAACTCTAAAGCAAAACCTGAAAGAAATCAATGAAGCAAGCACTTATTTCATTACATTAAAAAAATAAAAAAGACAACCAATTAAACCCAAGAAAGCTTGGGCATTATGAAGATAAGAGGACGCATCAGTGAAATACAAAACAAACATATAATATAGAAAACCTTCAAAGCCAGAAACTGGTTTTTGACAGCTTTCTAGCAAGACTTACGAAGAAAACAACAAATAAAGCAAAAAATTACACAGACAAGAAAGAAAAAACAAAATGCTCTCGTAAGATGTACAGTAACAGTCTTACTGTTCAAATGCCTTATTGAAAAACAATAAAAAATGAGAACACATTTTTGACCATTTACCTAAAGTGGATAAATTGTTTTAAAAACATAAATCACCAAAATTGACAGAAGAAACACATTTTCACATTTTATTTAACGTTATTTAAATATTTCAGGGCCAAGGAGATGGCTCAGTAGAATAAGTGCTTCCCTGGCAAGCGCAAGAGCCTGAGTTCAATCCCTGGTTCCGCAAAATAAATAAATAAATAAATAAAAATAAATTAAAAAAATAAATAAAAATTTCCCATGTAAAAAGTCTTAAGTCCAGATAGTTTCATTTGTGAAGTCAAATATATAAGGAGAAATACTCTGATACAATCAGAGAACACATAGAGATCATATTTACCAAGTCATTTTATAAGACTTGCATAAGCCTGATACCAAAATCCCATAAGGAAAAGGTAAGAAAGGAAATTAGTAGGGCAATCTTTCCCATATATTTACATGAAAATATCTGAAAAAAATATTAGCAAATTGAATCTAATGATACATGAAAAGACTAGAACATCAAGATCAGTAAAAGGTTGCTTTAACATTAATATATCAATCAATATAATTTACTTAATATAATAAAGTAGGAAAATCATGACTATCAAGAAAATGCAGGGCTGGCCAAATAGCTCAGGGGATTAAAACGCCTGCCAGCAGGCGCAGGGGCCAGGATCTGATCCCCAGCCCTATTGCCGGCCCGGGCCCAGGGCACGCTGAGATAGAGAATGAGACTGGGCGTGGTGGCGCGCGCCTGTAATCCCAGCACTTGGGAGGCTATAAACAGGTGGATCACTATGAGTTTGATCTAGTAGTGAGACCCTGGACATCCCGTAGACCCTTCCCTAATGAAAATGAAAAGAAAAAAAAGAAAATGCAACTGATAAAATTCAATACTGATTCATGATACAAACTCATTTTCAATAGAAATGAATTTATTTAATCTAGTAAAATGTAACTACAAAATATCCTACAGCAAACACCTTGCTCAATGGCTTATATTACAGAAGATATAAATAGTTTTGAATTATAAAACATACAATGAGATAATCAACAGCAATATAAGTTAGAGCCTATGAAACACCAACTTCAAAGAACAGAAGGAAAACAATTGTCAATCCAGTTAATGACCATTTTTTCCCTATTTATTTTTTACATCAAAGATGAGAGACATGACAATAGATGATAGGTTTGATCAGAACTAGCTGAGAATAGCAAAGCCAACAATGTCTGTGAAGATATTTGTTTCAGTGAGAACTGTATCCACTCCCTAAGTGGAAGATGGAAGAAATGACTTAGAAATTAGGTTCAGGGGCCGGGGAGATGGCTCAGTGGAATAAGTGCTTCCCTGGCAAGCTTAACAGCCTGAGTTAAATCCCCGGTTCTGCCAAAAAAAAAAAAAAAAAAAAAAAAAAAAAAAAAAAAAAAAGGAGAAATAAGGTTCAAGAAGCTTCTGAATTTATGCTACATTTTTGGCCAGAAGTTGGCAGTCTTAGTGGTACAAGCTTAGGTAGGAATATTTACAGAGCATGTTAAGTAAACTGATACTGTATATAGCACAATAATTAAAACAAGTCTGTAGAATCAGGCTAACTAGGTTTAGCTTTTGACTTTGCTTTGTATAAATTGAGTGAATGTGGTCAAGTTATTTCTCTATGCTTCAGCTTCTACAATTATAAATTATAGTTTAAAATGGTTTAAGCTAAAATATGTAAAACATTCGTACATGGCATATAGTAGAAGCTTAATAAATTCTAGTTATCACTATTTAATCTTGACTATAGTACTATAATTTGGTCATGTAGTTTGAAGCAATTATCTTTAATAAGACTATTGAAAAACTAAATTATATGAGACACATACTCTGACATCCACTGAGCAGCCCACAGTCCATGATGGATTTCCCAGCACTTGATTCTGGCAAAGAAGATGAACTAGTGAAGATTTTCCGACACCTGTGAAAGAGATAAGAATTTGGGTCATATATTTATTATGGTATCATATAAGACTGAAAATGTGTAGGAATAATGGCTGTTTAAAGGCTGTGTACAGTATACTACAAACTTCACTGAATAAAAAGATGGTTCAGAGCAGTGATTCTCTCAAATTTAGCATCAGAATCAGAAGGCCTGTTAAAATACGGAATGCTGAACCCTGCTCCAATTTTTTGACTTTGTAGATCTATTAGGGGGATCTATGATTTTGTACTTTCACTATGTCCTCTGTGTGATACTGATGCTCCTAGTCCAGGGGTCTTCCTTGGAAAAACAGTGGTCTTCAGTAATTTTATATTACTTAATTCCTTTCTTTTTCAGTGACTTAATCTATTTAGCATACTTTATAATCATAGAATAACTAATCTTAGTGGTAATCCCTCTATCCTGTATATCCAAACAGATATCTCTTCCATAGCACTGTTAGATTGCACCTCAATGCTGTCCGTGATAGCACTCACCATAGTCAGACACACCACTCCTCCCATACAGTGATTTTTTTAAAAAGCAACTAACCACTTGGCCCTTGGATAAAAAGAATTCTACTCTCTTTTCTACATGATGGCTTTTTACTTTGAGGCAACCTCTTATCTCCTTTTAGATCTCTTGGGCTCAGACAATCTAATTATTAATGCTGAAGGATCTAATTGGAGGTCTGTATGAGGAGGCAAAGCAATGAACTTTCTTGTATATCCATATGTGCAGCCACTCACTCATCTGACATCACTTTGGCCTCCTGCCTCCTATGTGCTGAGATTATAGGAGTGTGCTACCAGGTGAGGCTTATCTGGGTAAATATCTTCATGCAGTCATATTGTATAGATCTTCATGAATTAACTGTTTTGGGACATAAGTTTTAGACAACACTGGATGGCACAGTTGAAGTGCTAGGAAATAGTGGCTATTCATTTCTTTAAGAATTTTTGGAGGTTCCGATTCTATATTTCCACCTTGTAAACTAAGGTATATCAAAAGACTGTACAGTAATTGCTTTGGGGAAGAAGGCCCAACATAATCAAATATATGTCAGTTCCAAATATAGGTGGTCATTTTAAGCTCATCCCTATTTCTGCAAGAACAAAGACAAAAGAGTATGTCTATGTTAGTGAGAATTTCCAAATTCTTCACCAAATTATCAAATATCTCTCTAGCATACAAAACAAACCTTTAAATCTCAATCCTCTATATATTTGTTGTTGGTCCACTAAGGAGGCCCAAGGGAGACTTTTGAGGGTGAGGTCTCAAGGTTAAAATTACATGTGCAAGACATCAGCCACAACAGCAAACAGCATAGAGTACAGCAGAACACAAGAGTTGTCTGAATTTTTATGTAGAATTCTTATACAGGTTATTATCTCATATTTACATTCTTACATAGTACCATAACCAGCACATATGTGCTTACCCATGCTAAGTCATGGTCACATATGAATATCCCGCTATGCACCTGTGCTAGACAAGCCAGGTCTCAGGTGTCCTGAGGCTCCCCTGAACTGTGAAGCAGTCTGACTGGTTTCCCACATTTGTGAAAGCCTCAAAATTTCACAAAAGAAATTGCTTCCTACAAAAACAAACTGTGAAACTTAAATATAAAGGCAGATAAAAGTGTAAAAAAATATAATTTAATCTGTCAAGTAGCAAATCATTGTTAAAAAAGAAATTGGTAACAAGGCTACAATTGACTTTGTATATATAGCCTAACAGTGAATGTGTAGTAAGATCAATCACTTTTCTGGTGAGCGCAGCTGCATCTTGTTTTATAATAAGCATAATGGGGAGGGGGCTTACTAAGAGCCTGGACACTTTCCCTCATTTAGTACAGCCACCAATTCTACCAGTTAATACACTTTTTTTTTTTCCATTTTAGTCCCAGGGATTGAACACGGGGCCTTTGCACTGAGTTACATTAGTAGTGTCCCCCACCCCTTTTTTAAAAATTTTTTTAAGACAGGCTGAACTCAAATTTATAATCCTCCTGCTTCCATTCCCAGAGTACTGGGATTATAGGCCAGCTTGCCCAGCTTGATTCTACAGTTATAACCCTAGCACCTAATACAGTCCTGCTGAAACATAAAAAGTCAACTAGTTCCTATACTATTTTGTGGCTGTTAAATACACTAGAAAAGAGAATCAAAATGAACATCTATTCTACAGATCATGAAGAACTGTATTAGCTCTGGATTCTACTTTTAAATTGTACCTGGTGCTACTTTTGCTAAGGCCCTTTAAGTCACCATTACTCTTTTATCTGTAAAACTGAGTGATTTTATTAAACTGACTTCAGCTACATGGTGGAAGAAATGAAGGTGACATAAATTAGAATTTTGCTCACAAAATTGCATAGTGCAATTTTTACAATATTAAGTAATACTTTCTGTAAGATACACTGTAATGCAAATCAACTTCAGCAACAGGAAAAATCCTTAATTTTCCTTTCCTCATTTCAATTTTATACACTTTAAAGTTGAGTTTAAACTTTTGGGAACTTATTCTCTTTACCTCCAACACGTGGCACAGTGTCTTTGATGACAGGACAAATTCAAAGATCAATTCCAGAAAACTTGTCAATAAATGGTTAGCATTTATTCAGGTACTAACGGAGAACTGGAGTAGAGATGGAAGCGGGAACGAAAAGGACCATGAGGTGGAAGCGGGAATACAGACTTCTGCAAATGTCCAAGATGCCCAAAAATTAACATTTAAATGGGCTCAGTTGGGCTTAATTTCTCTTTTCCTTACAATGTAGCACATAAGTTTTTGATTAAATGAGAACATAGAAGCAAGGAACCCTGGACCACCACTTAAAACATTTCATTGCAAAACACAGCTTAATATTTAAGTCCATGGACTTTGGGTTTAAACTAGTCTTATTATTCACATCTCTCTGCCTCACTTTTCTCATCTGTAAAACGGATTTACAGGTCTGATCTCCGAGTTAATATATGCAAAGCCCTTGTCTGCGGCATTCTTTGTTGATTTAAGGGAAAAAAATCTTGAAAGGCACAGTCCTACTAACTTCTGCATGCTTACCACGAGTCCCAAAACAATGTTCAAAGCCCGCACACTTTTAAACAGTAAAGCAACTGACAATATACTCTAGGTTGGGGTCACTCTCAGATTGACTGCGAAGCCCGCGAAGGCTGAAAAAGGTCATTTAAGTACTCAGCGTCCCTCTTCCTCGCGATGCTGCCACTTTGTCAAAGGGAGCAAAGTCCTCTGGGAAGTGTAGTCTTTAAACCTTGAAAGGTACTTTGGTTATGGAGTAAAGAGCCTGGAAGTTTGAGGCGGGGAGAGTGGAAGAGCAGTGAAAGGTGTAGAGTGTTGGCTAACTCAGTAGTGCCGGGAGGTGGATTAGGTCACTCACCTGAGTCTCCCAACACCAGTACCTTTACCCGATCCAGGGACGCCATCTTGCCATTGCCTCCTCCCGGTTACCACCTATTCCGGGATTTTACACCAATCAGAGAGCGGTATGGAGCACAGCATCTTCAATCTCATTGGCCATTCGGAGCTCGACCATCTTGATTGACGGCTTCACTTCGCTGATTGGTCCGTCTGGTTAAAGGGAAAGGGTGGGTTCCAAGGCTGGTCGCAAAAATAAGGCGTTTTCTTTGTCGCACGGGTGGCGTGGGCTCCTGTAAGCCGGTAGTTGAGGTGCTGAGGGAAGCTGTAGTGGGGGATTGTTCCTGCATTCGCTTCGTAAACTTCGGTAAACCTTATTCCTTGTTCTCAGTTCCCTAGCCTGGCGTCCTATTTCATGGTTTGTGCTCTCCGCGCCTCTTTCCTTAATCCCACCTCTACCCGCCCTCTTGCCTTGGTCCTCCAAAGAATCATTGACCCCGGAGCGGCCGGTGTGCGACCACGGGTAGGACAAACTGGCTGCGCGGTGTGTGGCCCCGGACCCATCTGAGAGAGTCTATGGGAGCGTGAGGTGTCGGGGTCTGGAGTGGGGAGAACGGAACACTGCTGATCGCAGCTCGGGCGGCGCGGTTCGTGCCTCTTTTTTGTGTGAAAGTGGAACGTGCAGTGAAACACCGCCTGTACGCCTGTATTGTAACAGAAAAAAATGCAGCCAGCTGTGTAGAATCCAGGCTCATCCAGAAATAAAGCAGTAATATACTGAAATAATCGAATTAAACGCCTTGCATCTACTCATTTTTCCTTTATTCTCCTTCCCGCAGTCAGCATTTTTTTAAAATCAAATTTTGTTGAGTTACCTCCTGCTTAAAGCCACAGTAGGATTAAAAAGAGAGTGGCTTACAGCTTTCTTTTTCTATTAGGGAAGCAGGAGTGGCAAGTGAATGGGGAAGTTAGCAGGATGGGAATGTTGGAAGAACACGTGGCTGGAAGATGTATTGAAAGTTTTTTGTAAGTACTTGATTAGCAGTGCCAGATACTTGAGCTTCCTTGGCGATCAAGGTGAAGGCCCTGGTCTTAAAGGTAGACAGGGAAAAAGTACAAGAATGGGACCGAGTATGCTACCAGGAGGAAAGGCCTAGGTGAAGAAACGTCGTCTGAGACTTTAAGGATGGATAGGATAAAGGGGCTTGGACCTAGCTCTGGAAGCTGAACGGAAGAAAGCATAGTGGCTCATGCAGTTGAGAGTATGTTGGTGTCTCTAGGCATTGGACTGACAGGGGAGCAGAACTTAATTCTTTTCAAATTTATTTTTCTGTGTGCCTGGTATTTGTATGATTAGAGTACCTGTGGGTATGGACTGGCTAGTCGGGTAGGTGAGTTTGTGTGATGACTAATAGATATAAAGAGAAATAAGGAATGAGGCTGGGCATGGTGTCACAGGCCTATAATCCCTGCACTCACGAGGCAGACGCAGGGGAAATCCCTGTGAATTGGGCTTAATGGTAGCTTCAACAACAGCCTAAACTGTGTAGTGAGACCCTGTCACGCAAAAAAAAAAAAAAAAAGGAAAGAAGTGAGGACTATTAGAGATCACACACTCAAATCTCCAGAAACCAACCAAATGCCTTCCCTAAGTGTTATTTCTAGTTTTCAGAAGGAGCTGTAAGTTGAAATCATGCAAACCTAGATTTTTCTTGACAGTAAATTCACATAATATGTAGAACATTTTTCAGATGACAAAATGTGTATTGCCTGCCTTTTAGACTTCTGCCTTAAGTACATTAAGAAATCTAGAGACCGAATAAGCAGATTCAGCATGAGTGGGGAAGGGAAGGTAGGTAGAGGAGATAAGGTGATTAGAGAGAGGATTTCAGACAAGATCGGGCGTGTTCAGGGTGGTAGGGCCATAGACAGGATTTCAAAATGTAGATTTTGAAACAGGCACAGTTTGACCTCATTCTTCAGGTCCAGTTTTATTTGTTCAGTGACCTGCTAGGTATTTTCAGAGGAATATGATAGTTACTTTCTCAAAGATAGACTTCTAAAAGTGAATGCCTCATTTCTTCCAAAGATACTCTAAAAGTGCTACCCATTTTGTAGTACATTTTTCTTTTTGGTTACAGTGTCTGGAAGGTAGTCCATGCATCAACTGTATGAAAAATACACTTTATTACTTTTTATATATGAAGAAATAGAGGCTGAGGGTTTTCTGGGGTCACACTAAAAGAAATGGCTTAGCAATGCCGTGTCTCAAAATAAAGGGGAGATATTAGATAGATATGTAGCTCAGTGTGAAGGTCTTGGATTCAATCCCCAGTACCACTAACCTCCTCCCTAAAACAAGTATAACTGGGATTCAAAGCCCTAGATTTTTGGATTACAGAGTTCTTATGTCACTCCCTTACTGTAATCTTCAGCGCTCCTTAAGGTGTTTTAGACTCAGGCTAACCCTCTCCAGGTAGGATATATACTAGCAGGGTTTTTAATATCTAGGGACAAAGATTGTCTAGAAAGGTCAAGACTTTTGCTTCATATAGAGGCATCTAAGAAAGCTTTTAAAATTGGTATCTGGCCCTCTCAGATCAACTGAAACAGAACATCTGAAAATAGGGGCCAGGATTGGTATTAGATGATTCTGCTATACAGCCATGATTGTGAACCATTGATCTGCTGCACTGAATATGTTGGAGGAGAGGGGAAAAAAAAAACAATAATAGGACATAATACTGAAGATACAGGTTATATTGATATTTGCCTTTTATTTGGTCTTTGGGCATTTCTGAAGCCATTTATTGTATTCTGCTGCCTGATACATGTGTAAAACAACAACAAAACAACTGAGTTTAAGTGCAATGTACAGATTAACTGGGACAGGAGAGCAAAATGGGGTTAGTAGCATGTTATGGTTCTTTTAGTATGGAATACAGGTATCCTTAATGCCTGGGGAGCTGGAAAGGATCTAGGATGGCTGGTTTGAATCTAGATGTTACTTTGTTTTTTCTTCTTGTATATAGTTCCATCTGAGTATTTATATACAAAGTATGTATTTTGTTGTAACTGACTTTCCCTTTATTTCTTTTATTATAGGTAGACCCAAAATAGATATATAGCTTGGTTACACAGGAATTTTTTATGGTATAGTACAGTGCTTATAAAAATATTTCTTATAGAAAAGAGCATTAAATCTGATATTGTATCCACTGATCTCAATGTAAAGTTTCAGTTAAAACTAGTTTTAATGACAGAACATTATCTTCATTGAATAATTAGGTGGGGTTCTCTTGTTAAAAATGTCTCTACTCCTAGGACAATTTCACTAGATGCAGTCTGAATAGCCTGGCCATTTGTACTTTAGAATGTCTTAAATTGATAAGGGAAGTTGTCCTTGCCCTTCCTTTACACTTTATATACATTTTCAGTTATTAATTACAACATCCCCATTATCCTTATTTTGTAGAGGATAAATTTTTAAATGACTTAGAAGTGCTTTAAAGGATTTGGTCAGACTGCACAGCTGTCAAAACACAAGAAACATATGCCAGTTTGAGCTTTGCAGGGATAGCTTTTGGGCCATGCCATGGAAATTAGGCATGCATAGCTTCTGCTTTGTCCTATAAAGAATCCAGTATTTAAGGATATTGTGGGGCCAGCCAAATAGTTCAGCAGATTAAAGCACCTGCAAGCAGGCACAGGGGCCTGGGGTTTGATCCCTAGGCCTGCCTTGCCAGCCCCAGCCCTGGGCGTGCTGAGACTGCAATCAAGACTGGGCATGGTGGCGCACCTGTAATCCAGCTCTTGGGAGGCTGTAAATAGGCGGATCAGTACAAATCCAATCTAGTAGTTAGATTTCCCTAAAATACAAAATAATAATAATAAATTTTTTTTAAAAAAACTATTGTGCACTAGTACCACCACCTCTATGCTGTCTTTTAAAACAACTAGATGTTGTTTACTTAATTGTAAGATTTAACATTTTAAGGTTGGTAAAACTGTGGCTCTAAGTGTTCATTTCTTTCAGATTTACAGCAGTTAATGATTTTGTCAAAAATCACAACTGCTGATTGCTTATGGTTTCTTGATTGTTATGATCTTACTGTAAAAGCATGACCCTTTGAAACATCCTGAAGTGGGTAGAAAAGTTTTACTGAAGAAAGCAAATATAAACACTTTAAAGATACTCTTAACTGTTGGGTTTTTCAGGAGGGTTTCCAGTATTCTAGAGAACATTGAGAATCACTAGACCTGGTAGTGTGAGTATAATCCCAACACTGGGAGGCTGAGGCAAGAGGGTTGCAAGTTTGAAACTAGCCTTTGCAACCTAGCGACTTAGTGAGACGATCTCAAAGTGAAAAGTGAAAGAAAGGGGCAGGTGGTATAGCTCAATATGAAGGCACTAGATTCAATCTCGAGTACTGGGGAGAAAAACTGTCTCTTTCTGTGTTTTTTTTTTTTTTTTTTTTTTTTCTGAAATAAAGTTGGCTTAGTATAATGTTATATAGTAATATATGTAACAATATAATGTGTAACATGTTATAAATAAGCTATTTTTGAGTCAGGTACACTGTCATTCGTGGAACTAACCATATAAGAAATATATTCAGGGACCGGGGAGATAGCTTAGGGCCTGAATTCAATCCCCAGTTCTGCAAAAAAAAAAAAAAAAAAAAAAAGAAAATGAAATATATTCACTTTTTTAAGTATAATCTTTGATTTATAGGTTTTTTTATGTAGAAGAAAACCCTGTTTTTCCCTATAAAATGTAGATATTAGAAGTCTTTTAAAACAATGCTTGGATTCCTTGGTGGCATTCCAAGAATAGTGTAGCTACTAGTTACTAGTAACATGTTAATTATTCTAGATTTAAAATAATTATAATGTTCTCATGCCTACTAATTTTTTTTTTTTTTCTAATTTAGTATCTATAAAGTCAAAATTGGCTGCTAAGGATGGCAGACCCAGATGTCCTCACTGAGGTTCCAGCGGCATTGAAGAGGTTAGCCAAGTATGTGATCCGGGGTTTTTATGGCATTGAGCACGTGTTGGCCTTGGACATCTTGATTCGGAACTCCTGTGTGAAAGAGGAGGATATGTTGGAGCTACTCAAGTTTGATCGGAAGCAACTTCGATCAGTTTTGAATAATTTAAAAGGAGACAAATTCATTAAATGCAGGATGAGAGTAGAGACTGCTGCAGATGGGAAAACCACTCGCCATAACTATTACTTTATCAATTATCGTACTCTTGTTAATGTGGTAAAATATAAACTAGACCACATGAGAAGGAGGATTGAGACGGATGAGAGAGATTCCACCAACCGGGCTTCCTTCAAATGTCCTGTCTGTTGTAGTACTTTCACAGACCTAGAAGCTAATCAGCTCTTTGATCCCATGACAGGTAAGCCTTAATCAAGTAAATAAGATGTAAACCCATTTTCTTAAATTGATTCATCTATTTTTTAAGCCAGGCATGTACATGTTAAAAGTGAATGGATTGGTGGAATCAGCACTGACCTGGTTGTTCGTGATTACAGAAGGTTTTGCAAAGACTTTCTCCTTCACAAGGGAATAGACTAATTGAGGGGATTTTCTACCCATGGCTTTCCTGCTTCTGTCCCTACCCTCACTCATTTACTACCACAGCCTATCTGAAGGATTGGCTTCTAACACTCTGAGGCTATTCTAACTTTACTTTTGACTTCTTTCAGCAAATATTTGAACACCTATTTGTGTCATTCTTTACAGATCAGATAGTTACAATACAATTATATATGCAAATACTTTTTTTTTTGACCAGCTCAACCCACCTTGAGGGTGGGGCTGGCACAGCATGTGGTGCCAGGGATTGAACTGTGGTCCTCTGCACCTGCATAAGTTTGCCTAAGCAGGCGCTTTAGACTGCTGAGCTCTCTCTCAAGCCCAGTACTTTGTTAGTTGAAGTAAGAAGTGCTCTTAGGGGTAGGCCAGATATTTTAGAGGACTAAAGTGCCTGCTTAGGCAGAGCATAGCAGGGGTTTGATCCCCCACGTGCTTTGCCGCCCCCACCCCTGGGGTGCACTGAGAGGCAATTGAGACTGAGCATGGTGGTGCACACCTGTAATTCCAGTGCTTGGGAGGCTGAAAATGGGAGAAACACTACGAGCCCGATCTACGTAGTAAGACCCTGTAGACCCTGTACCAAATACATAAAATAAAAAAAAGTGCTATCAGGAGTGTATAATTAGGACACATAATCTGGATTTAGGGAAGGCCTCTGGGAGAAGTAACAAGGGAAACCTAAGGGATAAATAAGAATTACTCAGATAAAATAAGTGTTGAGCCCTTTCCAAATCAACTAATTGATATTTACTGCCTTTTAGCCATGCACTAATGGAAGAGAGTTTCAACAGCATGTATAATTCACCTCATTTAACACATACTTTAGTTCTGAGGGGTATATTCTTATCAATACAATTTATATAAAATATATTTTCCGAAAATATAATATGTCTAACATTAACATGAGAAACTTTAAAGTGCTGGGTTGTAGAGTTATTTTGTCTTGTTTTTAAACTAGATAAAGAACAGTAGTTAATTACCCAATTCAATTTTGCCTTATTTTCTAGAAGTAAAAGTCTATAGAAGGACTCAGTGCTGTTAAATTAGACCATCCTTTTGTTACGGTGAAATTTGAGAGTATAAATTTAAAGTTTTTGATATTTAATTGATATTTAATAATTTTTAGCTTATAATTTTACATTGAAAAATCTAATCTGAATTTTTACAGAAAAATGTTTTTAAAATTACATATTTGCATACGTGATTCATTTTCTAATTTTTATATGATATATACAGTATATTTTAAAGAATTTTTTTAAAGTATAAAGTAACCCCTATATCAATTTAGATTATTAACAAAAAGAGTAATTGAGCCTATAACTTTTACTTTGTCCTTATTTTTCTATGATGCATTTATTTAAAATGAAAAAACTCAAAGCATTGTCATTTTGTTATTAAATATTTGTTTGTACTTGTTTACCTTAAAAGTCTTAATTAGGAGGGATCTTGGCTTTAAAAAAAATCTTAACCATCTTGGTTATAATTACTTAGAGTTCTCTATGAAGTAGGAAGATTGCAGAATATATCTAATTCTTTCACAAGAGAGGTCTTGTGATTTTTATCATTTACTCTAACAGATTTCTTACAGAGCTGTGGGTTTTGGTTTTGTGATTCTCTGCAGATGTTGGTGTTACGATGGTCCTGTCTTCATCCCTCTTGACTGTAGTGGCAGGTGTTATCAAGTTCCTCAGAGAGGATAATCTGAAGTAATGTGCTTCTACTACATTTATTCATCATTTGAGTCTTAATTTCGTGAAACTTTCTAAAATAGGGTGAATCCACTACTGTATTTCATTATTGGAGACTGATCTAAGGCGCTCTTACAATTTTGCCTATGATTAGTGCTTAAATGAAACTAGCAGTGATTAACAGCTTGTAAAAGAGCTGGCCTGATAGCCAGATACAGTCAGAGTTATTTGAATTAGATGGTTGAGATAGGGAAAAGGAGACATGAAAATGATTGTTTGGAAAGAAAGCTAAGAGGCACCTGCAGTCATACCATCCTAGACACAATCTTGTCTGAAAGAGAGCTCCATGGTGAAATATGTGTTGTTGTCATCAGTCTAAAAGACAAATGTATTTCTAATATGAGGGGTATGGTCTGTATGAAGGTAGAAAGGAATGTTGGAGAGCAAGAAAACATCACTTAACTTGATGTTATCCAGATGAAAGCCTGTTCAGCCTGTATTCATATGTTCGGTTGGCAGTTCTTTCCCCCCCGTAAAGCTTGAATTACCATGATTGAAAATTTGAAATCACTAGGGACCCTAATTCTGAGAATGAACCTGTCTTTTGATTTTTGATTTAGCCTTTATTGGACTTTCCTTGAAAGACAAAATGTGCTAATTTGTTATTGGGCCCAGTCTACATACTTAGTTCTGCTGCTTTAGAGTTTTTTTATTATTGTTTTTGTTTTACCTATTAACAACCCTTGATATTTGCCATTGATCTGTACATCATCTTTAGAAATCTACAGTATTTCTCTTCTGTCCTCTTTTACTTGGTTTCTATTTCTCCTTTGTGAAGATGTGAAATAAATATTTGGTATGTGTAGCAGGGAGGTGGAAGGTTTCTCTGTGCTATCTAAATTAGTAGACTACAGTTTTTACTCTAACCTCAGTCCTCTATAAACCTATATTTCCCGGTTGCTATTGGAATATGATGTTATTTCTGAACATGTATCTGACCAAAGGATGGGGATAACTGCTGGTCTGTACTTTTTTATTCCTTTTTAAACAGATCTAAGGTTAAACTGGTTTATTTTTACCATTAGGGAACATTCAAGAATTAAATGTGAAGCCTTCTGATAAAAAGTTCTTAAGTCTGTGGGCAGCTTTTTATCACTAGAAGAACAGTGGGGCCTCCATGAGCTTCCTGCACAGCACTTGCCAGTTTTGGGCTCCAGGTTCTGAGCTCTGCACAGATTGTTTTAGCAGTGTTAATTGATGTACAGGCCAGTGATCTATTTCAGTTTACAGCTTGTCAGTTTTCTCTGTACTTGCCTTTCCAATTTTGCCTCTGGTGTTCACTCTCTTTAAATAGACTTAGCATTTCTATTTTAGCAGCCCAGCCATGGGTGATTTAGTTAATGGCACTTCTAAGTTAAATCCAGCAACATGTCATATTTTCTTTGTAGGTGTTAAGGTTAAATGAGATGGAAATAGCTTTATATTTTCCATTTTTAATTTAAAATTATACAGCCATAAATCAGAAAATGCGCAAAAACAAAAGTCACCCACAAAACCAGCATGAATAGCTTGTGATCTCTTTGTTTCATAATGTACTGGGGATGGGGATTTGGCTCAGCGGTAGAATGCTTGCCTGGCAAGCTAGAAGCCCTGGGTTCGGTCCTCAGCACCAAAAACAAAAAATAAACCTCCCCTAAAAAACAATTCAACCATGATGTACCAAACCCATGTTTCTATTCAGTGTTCAAAATATGTTTTAATAAGTAGGATTCCTGTGATTCTCTCCTACTACCCCTTTTGGATGCTTTGGTTATACCTGGTTTTTTTTTTTTTTTTTACTAGTGTAATGAGGTGTTTTACCCCTTTGTCTAGCTTGTATTTAATCCCTGTTAAAATTGTTCCTTAAAAATTTTGGAAGCCATATTACTGAATTTATCTAGATACCACAGAATCTCATTTTAAATAAATTTTGAGATGAAAGATAATTTGATTTTTTAAAAATAATAAAAACATTTAACAAATTTTAAAAATAGGAATTGAGAGATTGTTTAATTGAACTCATTGATGTTTGAGTGGGTGCCATGTGGATCATTCCTATGTCATGCTCTTAGAGTTGCAGGTCTGGCAAAGTAATGTAATGCATAAATCTGCCCGTACAGGAAGTGCTGGGATCTTTGACTGAATGTTAGGGAAGAATCTTGGAGACTGAGCTTACTTTTGTGTGACTGAACATTTAGATTTAGAAACAATAGATTTTAGAATTAGCATGAATAATCTTTAATACTGAAGTCTCTAATAACTTTAAAAATAGCCAACAATGGAATAGATGATGAGTTCTGAAGTACGTTGGAATATTCAGATACACTTTGTATCTACTTGGAATATTTGTTCCTAAGCATGGGGTCCTTCTTGCCTCAGGACTGCAGATAAATGTTGTTTGGTTTAGACAAATCAGTTGTCTGATTCTCATATTATTGAAATTTCTTATGTGTGTTTTAAAATTACTATTATTTTTTAAATTATTAGGGTTCTGTATTTGGGAGTCTTTCAAAGACCTGTTAATGTTTGCTTTCATTAGGCAGACTACTTTTTCCTGCTTTCATCTCTCAATGTGTTGGACAGGAGATATCTTATAAGCATTGTTTTGAGTTTGTGTTCCTGAAGTGCTAAAAGCACAGACAAAGAAAAATAAATCTCACTGTTATTTGCTCATTTGCTGAAGCCTCTGTCTTTTGGAATTTTACCTCGGATGAGTTAATTTGAAAATTAGACCAGAAAGCTAGAGGTGTGCACTTGGTTGGGGGCATAAAAGGATAGAACAGATGACTGCCAGAATCAGTTAAATGAGTATACAAAAACAAGTTATGGAAAATAAGAAGGTACACTTTTTTTCTCATCTCCCCTTCTCAATCAGACTTTTGTCTGATTTTTTAAAATTCTGCTTTTCATCTTGAGAATTTGAAAGCCTTTCATTTTAAGACCTTTGTGTTTTATTTTTTGTATGTTGATAATAAAATAGAGTGAATTTATTTGTGGAGAGTTGCTTTTCTTATTTTAGTGCTGGTATACAACACTAACTTGGTTATTATCTTTCAAATATCCATATTAAGAC